TTGCAGAGGAAGGGGTCCTTCTCGTCGTAGTTGATCGACCTGGGAGTCAACACCGAGGGGGCCCTGCTGAAATCTCATTATCGCTGCCCCCCTCCCCGAAGAGATGGAAAAACCCAAATCTCCTTCTAGGACCAGACCAGGAGAACCCCAAGATTTCTGCCGCTGTGTCAGGCGTGGGGGTGTCACCCCAAGGGCGCCCCTTCCTCCATCCTGGAACCCCTGGAGGTGGGGGGGGGGCAAAGCTCACCCACCGGCACTTGTGGCACTGGTAGACGTTCTCCCCGCAGTTTCCGCAGACTCCAGGGTTGGCGGGGACCGAGGCGCTGCATCGGGGGCACTGCAAGGTTTCCGTGGAGGCCTGGTAGTTCTCGTAGAAGTCGGCAAACTCGATCATCAGGTTGGACGCCACAATGGGCAGCGGAAGATCGATCTTCACCTCCGTCTGGCCGGGGGTCAGCTGGACCTTCTTGGCTTTGTGCCAGCGGGCCGGCCTAAGGATGGCAAGGGCGGGGGGGGGGGGGGGGGGAGGGGAGAGAGGCCAACCATGAGAACCAGGCACAGAAGTCCAGTTCCGCTGTTCGGCTCCATTCCCGGGAAAACTAAGCATTCCTGCTACCTCTCACGCTGAAAATAAAAGAGGTGAACCGAGAGAGATAAAGAATTGATTCACCCAGCAGCAGTGAATGAACGGAGCCATGAAGGCTCCAAGGGAGCTTTGCCAAAACCAGAAAAGAAACATCCAGGAGAAAGACTGAGCCTGTGGCTGAGGAGCATGGCTGTCTGCTTTATCTATCACCCATATCTCTATCTATCCATCCATCCATCCAACATCTATCTCTATCCTATCATCTATAACGATCATCTATTATCTATCTATATTTCTATTATATTTATCTATTTCTATTTCTATCTTATCTATCCATCCAACATCTATATCATCATCTATTTCTACCTCTTCTATTACCTATCTATATTTCTATTATGTTTATTTCTATTTCTATCTTATCTATCTATCCATCCATCCATCCAACATCTATATCTATCATCATCTATTTCTATCTATCTTCTATTATCTATCTGTATTTCTATTATGTTTATCAATTTCTATTTCTCTTATTATATCTTATCTATCTATCTATCTATCTATCTATCTATCTATATCCATCCGTTATCTATCTAATCATCTATATCTATCAATCTATCCATTATCCATCTATAATCCATATCTATATCCCTCTCTTTCTCTCTTTTAGAAACCACCCGTTTTCCCTCACGAAGGGACTCATGGTGGTGTTCAAAGTTAAAAGGAAAAAAATTGAAAACAAGACTTGAACCTAAAACTTCTAAAGACAAGCGTGAAGGATAATTAAAACCAGCTGGAGACTCTGTGCCGCCTCTTGTGACTTTGGTGCATCCCACTGGTTGTACGCTACTGGTTCAGCCCAGTTCACCAGAACCGGTAGCAAAAGACCCTGATCCTCAGCTGAGAGCAGAAAGAAGAGAAAAGCGCAGGATCGGCCCCCCCACCGGCCCCTTTCTCTTCTTTACCCTCTCAGCTGATTGGCACTGCAGGCCAGAGGTGGTATTCACCAGTTCTGGAGAACAGGGAGCGGACATTTTGAGTCGTTCGGAGAACCGGCCAATCCCGCCTCTGACTGGCCCCGCCAACCCCATATCTCTTCTCTGCCTCCCATTGAGTCCCAGCTGATCGGCTGGGTCTTCTTGGGTTGCCCTGCCCAGGAGAACGGAGCTGGAAAGCAGGTTAGTGGGGTGGGGAGGGAAGGAGGATTTTGCAGTATATCCTTCCCCTGCCACGCCCACCAAGCCACACCACGCCCACCAAGCCACGCCCACAGAACCGGTAGTAAAAAATTTTGAATCCCACCACTGCTGCGTGCCTCAGCTGGTGTGTGGAAAGCTGCAAGAGCGCGTCAGGGTGCACGTGCATGAGGTGCGCACACGCGCAATCAACGAACCAGTAATGGAACAGGTCAGGGTCCCACTGCTGGTGCCTCCTTACTTGTTCTTCAGCTCCACGATGGCCTGCACGGTCCGGTTGTTGTAGTAGAGGTTGATGGTCCGGACCATCTTGGTGCGCTTCAGGTCTCCGATCTTGACCGTCACTTTGCTGATGGTGTGGCTGCCAATCAGCTTGACTACCTGCTGGGTGGTAGTGTAGCGGGTGTCCACCTTGATGGAGGAGAGCTTGATGTACTAAGAGAAAAGGGAGAGAGAGAGGGAGAAGAGAGAGATGGGCTGGAAGAGGCCGAGTGTTAGGGTCCTGAGGGATGTAATTAATTCATGAGCCTCGAGCCAAGTTTCAAAAGAAATCCCAATTATTTATTGGGAACAACATGTCCGCCCTTTTGGCTCTGCCCTGCGTAATTTACTGCCCACCTATGACCCTGTTTCCCCCCTCCTCCCAGGGTGTGTCATAAATCACATTCTCCAATAAGAGCACTTTCCCGGCGGTCTCCAGTTGTCTCTGGTAACCTGGGACACAATCTGGAGAAAGGGGTGCGCGGAATGTGCTTCTGCTCATAGCAACTGAACTGCTCCACCAGATCTCCCTCCGCTCCTTCTTATGGCACCTCAAAAGCAAGCCGGGAATGCTTTACGAGTTGACCCCAAGAGGCCCGGCAGGGCTGGAAAGCACAGGGAGAGGGGAGGGATCACTTACGCAGAAAGGCACTTCGGGGTTGTTGCAAACGAGACAGGGGTCACTCTCTAAATAGTAGCCGTCAAACTCCACCAGGCCAGAGAGGGTGCTGGAATGAGGGGAAGAGGAAGGCAGCTGATTTAGTCTGCTCAGGGTCAAAGTCCCAGCTGGCTGCCCGCTTTTCCCTTCTAATTCCCAAGCAGGACCAGCGCAAAAAAAACCCCCCGAATTTCATTTCCTCGCCTTGCATGAAATAGAGTTAAGTACGGCAACCCACGATGTCTCCTTTGGGTCACACGCTAAAAAAGGGGCTGCTTAGAGTGAACCTGGAACCATTTCTGGGCACAGCACACTGAACGGTGCAATGGCCTAGAGGTGGAGCTCACAACCGGGAGGCTATGAGTTCAATCCTAGGTACAGGCAGGTATTTCTCTCTCTGGGCACGGTGAGAATATAACTGCTGAACAAAACTCCGCACTGACAACAGGAAGGGTATCCGGCCAGTAAACACTCAGCTCCCCAAGATTCCACCCCGTGAGGGATTATGGGGTTGTTAAAAGATTATGAATGTCCAGGCACTGTGAAGTTAATTTGGGCAGCCAGCCAAGTGCCCCCCTCTCACCTCCCAACAAGAAGCACCCTCATCCCCACCACCCCACCTGTGCCCCCCCCGGGGGCTCTGAACGTGCCAAGCAACCCTCACTTGTAGATGTTGGAGTTGGGGTGATTGGTGAGGATGTGGTTCTGCATCCGGAGAATCTCCACGGCCTTCTGGGAGTATTCCTTGGACTGAAACAGAGTCCCCAACACAAATATCAGAGGAGGTTCCATAAAGCGAACTCAGGTGAGCTACAGACAATGGTCCTTAAATGACTCGAGGGGGAGCATTTCTTCTCAGGTTTTCGCACCTGGGAAGGTGAGTTACCCTCCCATGCAAACAGGGCAAGCAAGATGGGACACCTGAGCTCTGACTTCACCAGCTGACTCTTTGCTCTTTCGACCTAGCCTACCTTCCAAGAGTGGCTGTGAACCACACAGAAATGCCCCCCCCTCCCCTTAAGATGGGTCTTGGGGCAAACCTCCCAAGTTGTGTTCAGCACTTGAAATGTGCACAGGAGTTCCCAGCCTCCACCAGCAGAAACAGTCCCGGGTGCTGGGAATAAGGAGGGACAGCAGAAGAGGCCATTCCAGGCTCTTACCTTTTTCTCCGTCTGCTGGGTTTTCAGAGAGAAGTAGCCCAGGAGATCCACAAACTGGGCAGCCTTCCGCCCGTAGGCCGGCAGCTCTGGCCAGATGGACCACATCAGGTCCAGCAGCAGCTCTTGCTGGGACTTGTTGGAGTTCCTAAAGGGAAATTTCTACAGTCAGTGGCTGCTCTCTGGACGTATGGCCAGACTTTATTGCACAGGGGGCGAAGCTTGGCCACTTTTAAGACCTATGGACTTCCATTCCCAGAATTCCCAAAACTGGCTGGGGAATTCTGGGAGTTGAAGTCCACAAGTCTTAAAGTGGCCAAGTTT